TTTTTCCTACTATCTGGTAGTGACAATTAGAAGCAATTGAAACACTCCCGCTAATAACCTTTGGATTTCAGTCACAGGACCTTTGGCAGAAATTCAGACACTGTAAAACCTGTGGGCCTTGCATACCTGCCTCTTTCATCTTACCTCTGTGTCTAACAGTCACCTCTCATCTGTCACTGCATTCTTTCTGTCATGGTTGGCCTGACAGTGACTCTAGATTCCTGTGAAACACTGCTGTGGGCACCCTCTACCGATCAGATGCAGGCGCACTAAGTGAAACTGATTTAGTGTATCTGTTGTACAACAGTTTTTTTTTTTTTTTTTACAAAGTTTATTTTTACATCATTTTGCACATTTTTTTTTACATCTCGATTGTAATCCCCGCGGGTTTCCCATCACCAAATCACCCCTGTGCGACCACCATAGTCTCGTGCATTTCCCTCCCTTCCCCCCCTCCCATTTTTGATCCCGTTCCCCACTCCACCCCCACAGAATGTCTCTGGTATATGGTTGTTCATTATTTTTGTTATTTTCTCGCCTGGTCCATTATACTCCTGCTATGAGTGAAACCATCCAGTATTTTTCTTTCTCTTTCTGGCTTATCTCACTAAGCATGATCTTTTCCAACTCCATCCAAGTTGCTGCAAAAGACATGTGTTTCTCTTTTTTGGTTGCTGAGTAATATTCCATTGTATATATGTACCACATCTTTCTAATCCAGTCATTTACTTTTGGGCATTTGGGCTGCTTCCATGTTTTTCCAATTGTAAATAAAGCAGCAATAAACATGGGGGTACAAGTATCTTTTTCAATCAGTGTTTTTGTGTCTTTTGGGTAGATACCTAGGAGTGGGATTGCTGGGTCGTAGGGAAGCTCCATGTTTAGCAGTTTGAGGAACCTCCAAACAGTTTTCCATAGTGGTTGTACTAGTTTGCATTCCCACCAGCAATGCAGGAGAGTTCCTTTTTCTCCACATCCTCGCCAACATTTGTTGTTGCTAGTTGTTTGAAGATGTTCCATTCTCACTGGGGTGAGGTGGTATCTCATTGTGGTTTTAATTTGCATCTCCCTTATTACGAGTGATGTTGAACATTTTTTCATATGCCTGTTGGCCATCTGCATTTCCTCTTTGGAGAAGTGTCTTTTTAGCTCTACTGCCCATTTTTTGATGGGGTTGTTTACTTTTTGTTGAGTTTCATCAGTTCTCCGTATATTTTTGTGATCAGTCCTTTATCGCTACTTTTGTGTGAGAAAATGTTTTCCCAATTAGTGATCTTTCTGTTTGTTTTTAGTAATGTCTCTTTTGCTGTACAGAAGCTCTTTAACTTGATGTAGTCCCATCTATTTATCTTTGCCTTCACTATTGTGGCATTGGGTGCTCTGTCTTTAAAGATGTCGCTGAAGTGTATGTCGTGTAGTGTTTGACCCATCTTTGTTTCTAAAAATCTGGAACGCTTCAAGAATTTGCGTGTCATCCTTGCGCAGGGGCCATGCTAATCTTCTCTGTATTGTTCCAATTTTAGTATATGTGCTGCCGAAGCGAGCACACAACAGTTTTGTTTTAAAATCACGAGTTAACAAATACTCAGTTGTTAAACTTTATCATGTAAAAAATAGTTGGAGAAGCTGGGAAGGGAATCTCATGTAACCCTTAGACTTGGTCTCTTTTATTTTGACTATGAAATCTAATATTTTTCTTTTGTCTTTGAGTCGTAGAAGTGGTTTAATTTAATTTTACTTATTGCAGCTCAGGCAAAAACGTATGCCTATAGTATAGGATTATATTTAAAATTCTGCTTTTAGGTCCAGAGGCCTGTGTACCAAATGGGAAAAACAGTTTCCACAAAATGGGCCTGGGGTTTTAGTAGATGACAATCTCAGAACAATAGATGATGTCAAAGAATGAATACATATATTGTAGATATTTTAAATAATATTTAATAAAAATTATATTCTGAAGATAATAAGTTAGGGAACAACTTTGGTTTCAAGGCAGTAAAATATAGATAAATTGAATTGGATACATATGGTTATATAGTATAGTCATTATTCCAAAAAGTAATATATCTTGAATCTTGAGTTTTATCCTTTGTAATACCAATAAAAATTAACATATACTCCATTTGTATTTTCAGAACAAGGGGAAAATAAAAGGTTATGTCTCTGAAGTGGGATTATTAGTGACCTTAAATTTTATTTTTTATGTTTTTGCTGTAGTTTCCTAAATTTATCCCATGAATGTGTATCACTTTAAAAGAATTTAACAAGTGATGATCTCTCCATTTATTAAACATGAATGTTTTTAGGCATTAGTAAATTTTACCTTTTTTTGTCAAAGCGTTATCAAACAAGTTGTACATTGCACTATAAGTTGGAATAGACAGGCAACCCAATGACCAAACTTCACTTTTCCTTTTGACTTTTACAGTAGCAGAATACTGGTTGGTATTAACAGATTTAGATTTGTGTCTACCCTTACCCACTACCTAGATTTTGGAAATCCACTTTAGCTTGTAAGACCTTTTTACTTTATTTATAGAATGAGGGGTTGAATAATACCTTTGACCTTTCTACTTTACCAGGATACTCCAAAGACAAATGAAACAATGGAACATCTAGCAGAAAAACATCCTGTGTGTCATTGTTTTTAAGAACAATACTTGTGATGTTTATTTCTGTATTGTACCCAGAGGCTTAGTAATGACGTCATACTGCCATGGCCTTTCATCCCAACTCTTCCCCTGCTCTCAGATTTCCCTAGAGCAGGTCATCCTGTAAGCTTTCCAGATGGAGTTACATTTATTTTTCCTTTTATTTGCAATGCCTGTGGTATATAGCTCAAGTTCCCAGTATTACATTATATTCTTATCTAATATATTCCCCACTGGGCAGGAGCCATATCTTATTTTGTCTTTGCTTGATCATTAAAAGCTGTTGGTGCCTAACTCTTAACTCAAAACATTAAAGGAGCCTAGCCGCATTGCTTCTTTGCTCCAGTAAATTCTGAAAACATATTACAGGAGTGCAGGGTCTTTTCTGCAATCCTCTGAACTTTCTTGGGAATTGTTTAGACTACCTCAACAGAGAGCAGTTAGAATAAGGCCGAGAACAAGAAAGAGCTATGAAGCTGGTGGAAATGGTTAACTTCATTGAGCAGGGATGAGATGATAACTGAGGTCCAGGATTTGAGCTCCACTCTGAACTCTGCTGCCACTAACATGCTGGTTGACACCAATTTCCCCAACCTGACCTAGGAGGGGGTTGGATTCTGGGATGTTTCTTTTGGGAAGTGATTGTGTAGTGCCTGTGAGTCCATGTTAATGACCTTAGTCTTATTATGGCTCTGGGGGTCTAGGAGAAATCATGTCTCTGAGCCTCAGTGTTGTATTATGTAAAATGAGGATAATAATTATATCATATCATTGTTGTAACAGTAAAATGTGATAAAGCATATATAATTTCCAGGACTGTGTGTAGTGCCTAGAAGATTCTTGCCTACCTTCTTTCCCTTTGTTTAAACAAACAAGATAAAGTAATCCCCATAAAAACACTAGCTGAGGCTTAGAGTGCCCTGTCCTAGGGATACAGATCTAGTGTCAAATAAAACAAATCTTGACTTAGTAAGGAGATACTGTCAGATAAAACAAATAGATAAAATAAATCTTGACTTAGTAAGGAGATACTTTCTTTGTAAGGACTATGCAAGGAGAAAAAGGACTATTGCAACAGGGAGACTGCTATGACCATGATATATGCAAGATCTAGAGTTAGGGAAAAAGGATTTTTCTTTTACAGAAAGGAGTAAACAAGACTAGAAGCACTGGATGTGTAGAAATGATCAGTGAACATTTCACCTGAGGCCAGCCTGTTCCGAAGGGTACTGACAGTGAGCCAGTATTCAGAAGCCTGGAAGACAGAAATTTAATGGAAGTTTAGTTAATGTACATTTGGTCCAGTTAGTCAGTGAAGGTGAAATAGGCAAAGAATGGGAAGTTGGAGGGTCAGTGTTTAGCTTTGTTATGTAAGCAAAGGGGCTTTTTTTTTTTTTTTTCTTATTTAGGTCATTTAGGGAAGGATGATATTTTCTGTAGTAAATTGTTTTGCAGAACATGAAAATGTGGGGATTTTGCAACCTTCACTATTTTCCAGGAGCACAGGGGTTAGGTAAAATCCAACACTGTCAGTGGTAAAACTTTTAGGATTCCAAGTCATGGATGGTGACATCCGTGCAGGATTTTGATGGGTGAGTCAGATCATTCCAATGCACACTTCGTTGAGCACCCGCTGGTGGAAATCTGGAGACAGCTCTTCTGCCCTAATTGGATGGGGTCAGAGGCTGGAAGAAGAAATTTAAGAGCCATGAGAATGTGATTACTTATTGCTCACATTCTCTAACAATCTGTCACCAAGTTCAAGCTGACAGCCACAACCCCATTTTTTTTTTAAATGCATGTGGGAAAGAGGGAAGATTGTTTCAGTTTTCCAAGTTCATCTTTTCCACTGACAGAACGGGGAGCGTCTGATTGAGGCCCACAGGGCCCACCCTAGTGGGCACAGGGAGGTAGACTAGAGACTGGGATTGTCAGATATGCTTCAGGGACAGTCGTCTGCAGGGAAAGCACAGGCTAGAAGAGCAGTGAGTGATATTAACTCGAAAAGGAATAATTGAAAAGAAGAAGAAGAAGAAGAATACTTCCTCTGTCCTTGCGAAATTCGCCATCCTCCCAGGGGAAGAAGGCATCCCAGACGTGTCGGCAGAAACAGGAAGAATATGCCAGGGCTTTAGTCCCAAGGGAACCAAGTGCTGAAAGTAGAGAAAAAGTATCCTTCATTTATTGCCACGCCCCTTCTAGCCCCGCCACGCCCACTCTCCCCCCAGTGAAGTCTTTGGACTGCCTCTGCACATCGACCCTTCCAAGTGCCCATGCACACCAGACTGCCAGAACAGACGCGGATGCCGCTCCCTTAGCCTCCATCCGTCCCGGGTGGGCGCATTGCCCTCTCTGGTAGCCACCTCCTCCGCTGAGGAGAGGCTTCAATCGACGGGTCAGAGGAAGCGGATTAGAGGCTGTAAGCATTTGGCAGGCAAAGGGTGTGGGTCCCACGGGGAGTCTTGACTGTTCACTTGGGCTCGGCCCGCCCGCTGAGATGGGCTCTGTCTCCTCTGCGCTGGCGCGGTCTCGAAACGCCGTGGTGCAGTTGAGTTCGTCGCCACCACAGCCCGAGGCGCCATCGACTACCCCAGCTACTCGCAGAGACCCGTTCTTCCTCCCCAAGACCCGGAGGCTTGGACCGGGGCGTGAAGAGACACCGGTCCCGCCTGCAGCCTGGGAGCCTCCGTCGGCCGCGCAGCACCCTGCCCGGCGCGCGAAGTTAGCAAATCCGGAGCTGTCTCCGGTGCTGAAGCGTGAAAAGAGTATGTCCCAGCCCTACTTGCCCCGAAGCCGCAGCGCCGCGGGTAAGTCCTTACCTCACATTCGGCTCTCGGGAACTGTTACCTGGAGATCTTTGGGGGAAGTACTACTTTCAGGGGCAGAAATGTAAGACTCTATCTTTCAATAGGATTTCGCTTGCCCGCTTTCGTTTACAAGTTAAGGCTCAACTGGTTTAATAGGAGTGCCTCCACCTCCCTCTACAAAAGACCATCTTTCACAGGGATTTCACAGTACCTGACAAGATGGTTTACACTGTAAGGACTTCTTTTCTCCGGTTTGCATGGCGTCGGGTACCATGGGAAGAAGTCTTCCTTGTTTTCTTGGAAAGACAGGATAAGGAGGCGTGCCTTCTGTCTTCTCCTAAGAGAATTGGGAAAAGGTAAGGGACTCCTGCTGCTCCCAGACTTAGTTCCATGTGTGAAAAAGGAAACCAGCATTTGAACTAGTCTTTTCTGAAAGCACTGGGGTGTGTGACTAGGGGAAGACATTTTTAGGGTAGACAGCAAGGGAGAAGTAAAAGGAGCACAAGATCTGGCTGCTCACGTGGATTTTAATTACCATCTGCTGCTTTCATTGTGATTTTGGGCAGGGTAGTCTTTGTTCTTCAGTTTGATCACCTGTGACACCAGAATGATAATAATACCTATCTCATAGGGGAAATCTGACTAGACAGTGCATGTAGAATAAAGCACTTTGAAAACTTTAAAGTGCCAAGAAAATATTCAATATTATGCCTAACCAGAACTCTCAATGTATTCAACTGAAATCAAAAGAAATAGTGAAACTCTTCAGGTTTTAGTTTGAGATATTCAAAGACTGTGTTTCATTAGGGAAGGCCCTGTTTTATGGAAATGGGAGAAGTTGGAAAAAGAAGTCTGATACTAGAAAAGTTTCTAAATACACCAACTGGCCTTTGGTCCTAAACATAAACTCCCACCTTTAGCATGGAAAACGGAGTTATTCTTTGACTCACTGAGAAGTAAGGGTACAGTATAACTTTATTCCTTTGAGATTTTTTTTTAAATATTGTGATTTTATCCAGGAGCTTTTGTTTCCACTTGTTTCATTCAAACAGCCCTTAAAAAAATAGGAGAAGCATGCTCATTGTCTGGTGAAGGATATATCACTGTAAAGTAAAAATACATTCCATCCATAGGCTCATCTCTGTGATTTTAATGGAAAGAGAACAAGACTTTGAATCAGGTTACCTGGGTTCTGTTAAATGCTGCCTCCTTGGGTAAAGACATATATATATATATATATATTTTTTTTTTTTTCAAGATGAAATCACATTGTATTTTCAAAGAACATGTCATCTCAAAAAATTCTAGTTAGGTAGGGTTTTTCATATAAATAATTCTCTACTCGGCAATCTATGAGGCTGTTTTTTACTTTCTCCCCCTCCCCCCTTTTTTTTAAGTTTAATTTTCCCCCTCCTCACTTTTTTAAGTTTAATTTTACATCATTTTGTGCCATCACCATAGTCCAGTGCATTTCCCTCCCCCCACTGTTTTTGATCCCATTCCCCACTCCACCCCCATAAAATGTTTCTGGTATATATCTATTCACTATTATTATTTTCTCACCTGGTCCATTATATTCCTGCTATGAGAGAAACCATCTGATACTTTCCCTTTTCTTTCTGGCTTATTTCACTAAGCATGATCTTTTCCAGCTCCATCCATGTTGCTGCAAAAGGCATGTGTTTATTTTTTTGGTTGCTGAGTAGTATTCCATTGTGTATATGTACCACATCTTTTTAATCCAATCATCCACTTTTGGGCATTTGGGCTGTTTCCCTGTCTTTCTAATTGTAAATAAAGCAGCAATAAACATGGGAGTGCAGGTATTTTTTTGGATCTGTGCTTTTGAGTCTTTTGGGTAGATACCTAGGAGTGGGATTGCTGGCTCATAGGGAAGCTCCATGTTTAGCAGTTTGAGGAACCTCTAAACAGTTTTCCATAGTGGTTGTACTAGTTTGCATTCCCACCAGCAGTGCAGGAGAGTTCCTTTTTCTCCACATCC